TGCTTTGCCCAATAACTGACATGATTTCTCATTGGTAAATCAAAGCATTCTACTAGTATGTGCCCGTGAATCACAAAAATAAAAATTGAATTAAAACACCGTAAGAGAAAGGGAGGAAAAGCAGTGACTTGGAGGAAGAGGTTGACGCTATTCTCAGTCGGATTAGCACCTTGTGAGCTGGGTTCCTCGATTAGAGCCTTTGAGAACCGCAATCGCAGGCCAGTAAGATTCTAACGATTCTTCCCTCTGAATTTTCTCATTTGGATCATGTGCTTTCAATGTTGGAGATAAGGTTCTTAAGTGGAGATGCTAGTCCGAATGCGTTTTGGTTTCTATGCCGTGTAACCTTGTGTAACTCAACAACCTTAAATATGGAAGAGGAAGAATAGAAGAAGATGTGAAGTATGGTCACGAAGGAGGATGAAGAAATTTTGTTTTTTAATTTCTTAAGTATTTTTTTTATTCTCATTGACTAATTAAGTACCATAAAGTTATACCATGTTAAATTAAAATATATCAAGATTTTAATTTTAATTTATTTTATCTCAATCATTCAACATTAAGTAGTCTAATGATCATTTTTAAGAAAAAGTATTTGGACATAAAGTTTTAAATTTTATATTATCAGTATAATTTACCTTCATCCCAAAAATTTTAAAGTCATTTGTTTCAACATATTAAATTAAGAAAATTTAGTGCTTTAATGGATTTGTGCCCATTGAACCTCACATGAAATTGTATGAGCATATTTGTTAAATCTTTTGGGGTGTTTGGATTATTTCGTGTTAGTATATGAATACCCTACCCTGGTTTCTTTTGCGCCTGTTACAATGTCGTTTGATTCTTATCGGTTGGAATTTCAATTGGTCTCTTCACAAGTCTTCCCTCCAATTTTTTTATAATTAAATTGAGAAAAATTTTACCTTCTCCTCCCCTTCTCTTTTTTCTCTTTAATTAGATAAGTTAACAAATTAAGAGAAAAATAAAGGAAAGGAATATTTTTCTCTTCTCTCCCTCCTATTTTTTTTATAATTAAATAGAAAAAAAATTTACTCTTTCCTCCCTTCTCTTCTCCTCCCCTCCTCTCCTCTTTTCTCCATTCTCCTCAATCCAAACATGTGATAAAAGTCCACCTTGGATTGGATAACATCTTTGCTCTAACTCTAGACCATTTTTACAAAAAAAGAAAAAAAAGAAAAAAAAAAGAAATTATACTAAATTAGTTGGTAAGTAATAAGTTTAGTTTGAGAATACTAACATAATTTTTTTTGTCTTTTAATATCTTAAAAATATATAAAATATATTTCATATACTTAGTATTTATTTTAATTAATATTTTATATACTTTTAAAATAATAAACAAACTACAAAAACTAAAAATTAAAATACCAAAAGATGTTATCAAACGAAATTTAAGGGAAGAGAACTTAAAGGCAAAGTACTAAACCCAGCACACCGTGGCGTTTAAGACGTGTGTGTCAATGATTAGATTTAGTTGCGGGCCAGAGTTTAGGCCTAGTTGGAGTTCAATAACATGATATTGAGCAAGGCCCAAGCCCAAGTCATCTCAAAGCCTTCTATTTTTTATACTTTGCCCCATGGAGTATGCAGGATCAATCAGGTGTGATTATGATTGTTTACTACTTTATTAAGGTTATTTATTTTTATTTATTTTAATTAATATTTTATTTATAATTTTTAAATAATTAATTATAATGCTTAAAAATACTTATTTATAAATTAATTTTAAATTATTAAATAAAAAAATAAATATAAATTATTTTATTAAT